TTAATCTCCTAGCCATAATACCTTCTGACCATGATAACCAATCAGTAGTCTTGATGCTATTATAAGATCTTCATAATCTCAAATGTAGGACTTGTAGTTTTTTAGGATTCAGAATGTGTAATGCATATCAGTCACTTATACAGAAACAGAAAGTGAAGTGCCATGATTTTGACACTTTTCAATCTCAATATAATTTAAAGACTATAGAACTAACAAGCTCTAGAAAATAATGGCTGACCAAAGCTATTTTAGAGGTTTTCTGCTGGTGACTGGCCATTTTGATGGAAAATTGGTCAAAATTACATGTTTTCATATTGGTATAAAATGGACTGAATCAACACCCTCATTGTATGCATCTGTGAAGCCAATGACAAAATATTTCAATTGCACCTAACCATGTTCCCGTAGTAATCCCTATGATATTTGGTGAGATTATTGGAACAAATTGTGTGACAATTATTGGACAGCACCCTGAGATATCTCAGGGTTGGTCAGATACAATTATGACATCATAGACGAAATATCTCAGGGTTCGTCAACAATGAGGTAAATGGTTTTTGGATGACAGAACAAGACTCTAAAATTTCCCAGTTGTTCCTATCTATCTTTCAACCTTACAGCTGTTTCAACATTTATTTTAGTTTTGTCTGCAAATATTGTTAATTTTATCAGCTTTGTACTATAATATATTGATTAATTGATTGTAATACAGGCTTCACATAAGATTCTGATAGGCTCTACCAGTACCTGTACTCAACTTGGATTATAATAGATTTCTACATTTGCCCTGTTAAATACTTTTCCAAATAATTCTACCACATTTTGAATGAAGTGTCGTTTTCAACATATGCAATGTTTTAATCAGTTAATTTCACTTATAATACAACTGTACTTGTATCTTCCGTACTTTACTTCAATTTGAGGTACATGTAGATATAATATGAATCATATACAAGATGTAAACTGTATTTTATTAATTGGAAAGGAAAAAATGAATAAATCTAATTACTAGATCCAAATACAAGAAATAAACCACTGTGATTTATGATTCCGTATAAAAAATAAGGCATTAACACGCAAAATGTCACCATCTGTCATTTGTTACAGACACCAAACGCTGAACGCAAACTGCTGAACTTCGTTCACAAATAGTTGGAGACTATAACAATATGTCACTACTTCTGGTGATGACATATTAAACATGACAAGTTCTTTTCTTGAATGCAATATCTACAGTATCAAGTCAGTCTAACTTACTACCTATATTATGTCAACATTCAATGTCAATTTAAGTCACAATCAATTGACATATAACAACTAAATAAACACAAAATAAATGAAAATTAAGATAACATTGTACCAAAAAAAGAATATTTGTGGATTGTATTGTTGTCTATCATTGATTCGAGGTATAGTAAGAGTATAATATGTAGAGACTCGTCGTGTATAGCAATTTCACGTGCACTAAACCAAACATCATGATTCGAGTTTGATCAGTGCAGTGGTATCATAGTATGATCAGCTTTGAAGTGTTGATCAGCTTAATATTGAGCCTAAAATGTTCATGACATGTTGAGGTCTGGTAGGAACCTGTGAATATGTCAATCCGAATCAGTTACAGCCTATAGATTTCTAGTGAGATTTTCAGAAAACAAAACTTACAAAAAACAAAGCAAACATACCAAACACATTCCTTACACATGAAACACAAGGCATTACTGCAGAATAATTTGCATTCTGAAATAGGGAGCCCAATACTATTTAAATTCAATTGGCTAAATGCAAAAAATGCCAGGACCAACGCTTGATTAATTCACATGAAATTGATACCTACCAGAATATATAGGATTTGTAAACCAAACAAGCAGAAAAAACTGTAATAAGAAATTCCTCAGTCATACCAGGTCTGTGGGATATGTAATGACTTCATGTGAGACAACTTTTCATGATTTTTATTTGAACTGAAGTTAACCTTTGCAGATCTGATCAGTATCAGATCTACAGACTAACCTTTAGTGAAAAATATGAGCTCTGGATGCAACAATGAGCCTAGACGATATATGAAAATCAAAGTTGTGATTTTTCCAATATTGAACATGAGTGTGTATATATCAGCTAGAAAAGAACCACCCAATTATCATGTCTCAGCTGTTACCCGTTACTCATCACACATTGCTATTCCAATATAATATCAAATAGGATACCATGCAAGTTAATTGAAATTTGGCCATTATATTACATACCCCTATAAATGTGTAAGTTACATACAATCGATATGCATGTATACAGTAAACTACTAGTACATGTCAATCTTCTTAAATTTGAAGATTTTGTTACTGACTATATTATTCTGTTTTTACAGATTAGAAATTGAAGATTGTTTGAGTAAAAACATTTGTGATCATTGTTAGTTCTATTCTATATGTTAAAACGATGGACTCAACAAATACAGTTGGTAGGAAATCATTTTTTGTCAACCATGGATTGTGTCGAAGTTTCATGATTTCACTTTATTGAAGAGAAAATTTTCTAACCATGCCTGGTCTTAGAATAACCTAATGTAGATTCATATTTGGTTAAAACAGGGTTTGTGTAAAAAAAACGGGTGACCGGGTAGCCGGATGGCCGGGTAACCAGGTACTTAACATTCCTTGCAGGGTTACCAACTTTCAAAGTTGCACATTTGTAGACTACCCTTCAATATTTTTACGTTATCAATTTACCAAGAACCTGTAAGATACTGAATTTCGGAAGTCCTAGGTAGTTATTTACACAGTTTACACATACGATGACGTTAGTTGCTTGATTTATTGTCTGAGCGATTGACAGGATATCGATGATGGTTTTTTATGATGGCGATTTCTACTAGATATTAAACAAATCTGGAAGATTTAGGTACGCGTAAATTGAAACGTTATTTGCCATTTTTATCTGTTAATAATTAGTGGTACGATGTACAATACAACGTTAGTTGCTTGATTTATTGCCTCACCGATTGACATTATATTAATTTTGTTTGTCGTTTTGCCGGTTGATTTATCGGTAAATAAATTTTGTTGCTTGTTTGGTTGTTTGCTTGATTGGTTGTGTCACTGGTACGTTGATTGGGATGTCAGTTGGGCGTTTTGAGGCATAAAATGAAAAAATCAAATTCCTAACCCTGGTAGGAAGGTAGCGTACCCGGTTACCCGACTACCCGGTCACTCGGTTTTTTACACAAACCCGGTTGAAACAATAATATTGCGGGAATATTTTTGTTTAGTGTAAAAACAAAAAGCATGTGGATGTTTGTTGTACTAATTGAAACCAAATCGATTGCAGAAAAGCACTTTGAATCATGGAAATGAAGTACGTTCATTTCTATGCAAGCTCGAAATAACAAATTTCGTGCAGATTGCCTCAGCTCAACAAACCCGGGTCAACAAATGACCACTTGTGTTTATATAAAACTGAAGATAATGGACTCAGGAAATGGGTAATATCAAGACATCTCAAGAATTTGAAGAGATATGTGAAAGTCATTTTGAGTTTTGAAAGTGTCAACTATTGTTACATGTCACTTGTCTGGAGACCTTCTAAAAAATTGACTGACATGAAAAAAATCCGAAAATAAAAAAGGTTGGGTGTGACAAATTTCCAAAACGGGAGCGTTTGTCCCATTTGCATACTTTGTAAGTTTCTATATTGGTACATGATATTATAAAGATTGAGTAAAATTTGATTTCGATGAAATACATATTGTTTTTATCATACTAAATTGAAAGAAATGTAGAGAACTCACCTCAGCACGAATTTGGTTTTCAGCAGGTAGTTGTCACGTGACCAAAACATCTTGCGCACCGAACGAAACATTTCCCGGGAAAGAGTTCGCTGTTAAAGACAATACCCGGGAGAAACACCCAGTGAACAAATGTCTTAACAGCCTGACATCTATTTTTCTTTCAAACAACTATCTTGTTTAATTTGACTTAACCTATGAATCCTAGGTATGCCCCTGAAATGTTTGAAAGTTGAAATATGAACCGATTTTAGTTCATTTGGCAGTTGTTACATCAATTTCAATGTCAACAGTTTTCAAAAAGTTCACAGTTTTGGCTGTACATTTTGGCATGCTTTATTTTATAACATGACACAATCCTCATGATGCTTAGAGTCATTGAACAACAGTATTTGTGGAATTATATGTTTTTGATATAGGGTTTATTGGAAAATATGCAACTGATTGAGGATTTCTAACACAAGAGATGACAAGAAAATATCATGTAAGATGTATAAAACAAGGAAAGTAATGGTTACACAACATTAAGGTGCCATGGTACTTACACGAAATGACAAAACAGAAAGTGACAAAACCATGCTGGATTTTAATATTTTTTGAACCAAGATAACAGAGTTCTGTTTTGACCTCCAGTCAGTTTAACTAGTTCCACATATCATTTACATGACTAGGATCACAATGGCCATGGTCAGAATGACCCTAAACATGATGAAATAACTTTTCAGCCCTCTGAAAATGTGACAGAAAAATAGCTAAAAGCAGGAGCTTAGAGAAGGTCACTGAAAAGACTCTTTTGGATCTTTCAAAAATGTGCCCAATATATGGTTTTGTCATTTCCTGTTAAGTATCATGATCCTGAAGTGTATGGGGTTAGTCCATTTTATAGCTAGTATAAGGACCTCCATATTTTTCACTGACTAGTGACTACACAGAACAATTTTGAATCTCAGGTAGATTGTATATGTTGTCTATAACTGCAGTTATTGTCAATTGATATATTATTCATATATTTAACTAAAAAACAAGACATTAACATGCAAAATGTCACCACATGCCATCTGTTACAGACAATGAACATCAACCACATGTGCTGAACTGGAATCCAATCGGTGAACACTAACCAGAAAAAGTTGGAGACTATAATTATATGTCACCACTTCTGGTGGTGACATAACAAAAAAAAAACATCCATCACAAGTCAACAAATCCAAAAAACTATAAGTTCAATAATTTAAGTCATTTTATTTCTAGCATACATTTTATTTATTTTGTTGTTTATGTAATGTAAAATAATTTCTCATTAAATCTTTATCTTATTCAAGGTACAATGAACATGCATTGTCTTTTGTATTATGTAATATTGAAACCTTGATTTCCAGGAAAGGTATACAATTTAATCTGTCCACCTCACAAGGGGTAACAACTAAAATTTTATCACCTTCATGTATAAACATGTTTTTTACAAGATTTCATATTATAGACTGGCCTATTTGTGTAAATGTCTGTATAACAATTATAGTCATGGGTACACTATTCAACTGTTGATGGAAATATGAAGTCTCAAAAATATGTGTACATGTATACAGTATTATAAACCTCAAGCAAGTAATCACAAATGGTATATGGTATTCATTATAAGGCATTTCAAATTACATGTATATCCCTTAGTCCTTTCACCAGTATCTCTCCACAAAATCTCATTGGTTAAACTTTTCTCTTGAATTTTTGAACATGTAATTTAACAATTTTTCACATACTTGTATTGAAAGGTATTACTGGAATTTTAGAATAAAAAAAGTAAAATTAGACCATGGTCACCTGGCTGTTCCATTTCGAATGTTCACAAAGCAGAAATTAATTAAACAACATGGCCTAGTCTAACACTAGCCTCTGTTGAACTGGTTGATTTTCTGGAATTTCTATACAATTTGAACTGCACTTTCCCTTGTAAATTCTGACCTGTAAAACAAGATCTTAACAAAAGTTCATATCACACAGCAGACACCAGTTCATCTCCCTGAGTTCCATTATATCTTAAATCACCGGCGATTTGTTTCACTTTTTCTTTCCTAACAATAACATTTTGCAGTTCAGTAATAATCTCATCTTTACGCTGTGTTTCCACCTTGATATGCTGATATTTGTGCGTCAGTTGGGCCAGCTGTTTCTCTGCATCTGTGTGAGAACTGCTTTGGTCCATCAGGTAGTACATGTCACCCTGGAACACAAATATAAAGCATGATTTAGCATGTACTGAAAATAAAAAAAACTCAGATCCTGTCATGAATGCACATAGAAAGTTGATGCACTACATGTAAGGTATCATTCATACAATTTTCTAATTGAATGGTCAGGAATGAATTTATATCCTTATGTATTGTGTTAATATATGTATTTATCTGTGTTTCACTTGATCTTTGTAGATTGCTCTACTGATCAAAACCTTAAGAAGATACAGAAGGGCTCAGCTGAACAACAGTAATGATGATACACATATTATACCTTGTGAATGTTGAGATGACATGAATAAATTAGTGATGGCATTTTCCCCAAAGAGCTAGGAAATACAGTAAAACCACTCAGGAGTATAATGTGAAATGAACCTCTGTAAGTGGAACTCTAGTCTTACTTCAAGACCCTGAACCCCTTATCTACTTTACAACTGTTGTTAAAGTAGATAAGGAGGATGGGTCCAGGGAGCAAAACTTGTGGAAACCCTCCCAAGTGGAACATCACTTATAGGCATTCCACTTGCACAGGTTTTACTGTACCTTGTTATTGTGCATGTTTAGTGGGCTAATGGGTTGATAGGGACTCTTGCTTCTGGCCACCACAAGATGCAGAACATCTTTGCTGATATCTATAACTGACTGGACTGTTTCCACCTCCCACTCCAACACATAGCTGCCATTCACCTGAAAATAAATAATTGTTGGAATGGAATTCTTTTTCAATTTGTGAAGGGAGGGTCAGACTGACACAAATACATGTAGGTAGGTTGGTTATTTTTCAGTCTCTGTTGGAATTTTCATGTTAAAAGCACATTTGAATGCATCTCATCACTATGACAACAATAAATGACTTCACAGGTCTTATTGAGCAGTGAACACACAAGAGGATGTATCACGATAACACACAACACTTAGAGTTCTCTGAGGATTCAAGAGAACATACAAAGTCATGTGATGATCATTCATATTGATCTGTTACTAACCTGCACCATCAATACACTTTCTTATACAAAGTTTCTTAGCTAAAGATACATTTTTTTGTGTATCAAAGGTGCATAAAATTCTCATCTAGTTAGCATTATGACAACTCTCATCATGACATCATGACAGTTCCATATTGATATGTAGATTTTGAAAGATATGCTTTTTCCAACGTTGTCATCTAAGCTTTTTTGATTATAAGAATGCAGAGTACAAACCTCTAGAATATGATCCCCTTCTCGCACCATTCCACTAGTATGTGCAATACTCCCAGGGATGACAACATCAACAGTTAACATGGACTGGTATAGATGGCTACTTGGTGACGTCACAGGGGCAAATGGACTTCCTCTATGACCAATCACAGGTTTACGGCCAGATGGAACGTGGAAACTTTTACATCCTGAAGAATACTTCATCAGCTCATCCGTGAAAACACTTTCAAAGAGTTTGATCCCAAAATCCTGGTCAGAACCAGGGTTTGGTTTAAGCACCACAGGGATGATGTCACTACATCTCATAATAGTGAATAAAGATGGCCGACTTGGCTTGAGAAAGTTTTCTGAATTGAGATCATTGTTTGCATTACTCTGAATATATTCTGGTCCCTCGCAATACTCTTCTGGTAGATTTTTGGTATAAATGTCATTGTCTAAATTGGTTGGTAGGTTACTAGGTCTTATTGCTTTCACATATACAGGTGAGGGGCTCCTGTGTTCATCATCGGAACATTCTGGAATGATCACTTCAATTCCACAATTCTTTTGAAGCTCTCTAAAGCCTAATGTATTCACTGAAGCTTGGCTATTTGTGTTGGTGGCAATTTGTTGCGTGGCACTTTTATGTTCTACAATGTCCTTAGGTTTACAATTACTTGAGTGTTTATTTTTCTGTTTCACAATCTTTTCCTTAATTTCAGCTTGATTTGACTTGATATCATTCTTATCCTTTTGTTCTTTAGGCTTGGATTCTGTTCCAAGTTTATGGTCTACAACAGGTTTCAATGCAGATACACGATTGCCTGTAAAGTCTATGGAGTTGTCCAAGGATACATCTGCAGAAAAGTATGGAGAGATCAGCTGAGGGGGACTTGGAGTTAAGGTGGCAGCACAAGCTGGTTTATTACTTATTTTAACATCAAGAAAGTTATACATGTTCTTTACCACTGGAGAAATACGTTTCTGAACTTTTTCTTCTGTTTGGTTCAAATTGGACTTGATTTCACTAAGAAGTTCATTAAGATCAGATTTTGGCTTAAACTTTGTATTATCCTTTGGTTTCCCACGCTGTTGGATATTGGGCATTTCAACTCTTGTAATATTAGTATCCTTGCTTGTGGATTTGTGTATATGTTCAACAGAATTCTCCTTAATGGCAGGATTCAGTTCCTCAACTACAATGTCAACTTCTTCTTGCATTGCTAACTTTGATTCATCTTCAACCTTGGGAACTATAGTCTCCTCTTTCTTATGTATTACATTAATATCTGTGTTATCCTTTACAGTTTGTGCTTTTGTCTCCAATGCACTATCTATTACATTGTGAACAATGTCTTTATTTGTCTTACAATTATTATCCACAACAGAGAATCCATCAAAAGACTTTGCAGGTTTTTCTACATCTGTTTTAATGTTCTCTACGGGACCTTCAGTTATGTAAGTGGAGATTCCATCAGTTTTAACAACACCGACTTCAGTATTACAAATATCCATTTGATTGACTTTTGAAGAGTCATCACTTTCATCAACTATCACATTGCTTAAGTCTGCTGTAATGTCATTATGTTCAGCTGTTGATTGTTCTGGTTGTTTAATGTCATTTAAATCCGATGTGATGTCATCTGCTGTTGTCTCAGCAGTTGCAGCATCAACATTTTGGTCCACAATTGCAGGTGTACTTGTGTCCATTGTGTCATTGAACCTCACACTACTTAAAGTATCAGATTTAAAGGTGTCTAGCGTTAAATCATAATACTTTTCATTGTCACATGTTTGATTGTTTTCGTTAGCATCAATCTGACCTCCAACCTCAATTGGCTCTAAGGTTTTGTCACTAATATTGATATTATTCTGTATCACAGTTGGCACATTTGGATCGTTGTCTTTGTTATCTCTTGTATCTTCCAAAACTGGTTGATCTATTGAGATATTGGATTGCTTATTGTGTTCATCTAATAGGTTGGCATTTTCAGCTTTGTTACTGATGTTATCAATGCATTTGAGATCATCCAAGTCATCATGACCTTGGTTAGTATTGTCTTTGGGTATTTCATCATCAGTTGAAGGTTTTAAAGGATCATTATACTTTTTGTTAATTTCAACTGTTTCATCATTGTCAAGCTTTTCTACAGTGTTATTTTTCATTGTTTGAGGAAGGTTTTCTTTATCAGATAATGTTTCATTCTCTTCAAAGTGTTTAGTCCGAATGTTGTTTTGTAATATTATAGTGGCTTTACTGATTGCAGGTTTCACAGTGAGATCTTCAAGGTCATCTGTTTGGATTTTGGCAATGTTGTTATCAATTGTTTTTATCTTACCACTCATAGTCTTCTTAGTATTATCTACATGATTGTGACTGTATGGTTTCGCATTATCAACAATTTCTTTGTGTTTTGACTCCAATAACTTTTGTATTAGGAACTGTTTCTTGGAGTTAGATGATGCTGAATTGGTTGTCTGAACATAAGGATTTGTCTGGCTTGGTATTTTAGGAAGAGACCTCCTTGAACGAGATCCTTTGTGGGAGGTTGATCCTCTACGTGAGGATTCTGTAGATGACTGTTTGTTACTATTTGGAGTGTCCTCCAATGATGAGGCCTTTTCTGCATGGCCCACTTCATATGAATTAACTGTTGAGGTTTTGGTGGATAAGATACTAAGTTGCACATTTTCATCTTTGGGAACAGAAGGCAGGGTTTTTGATTTAGATCTGGAATCTTTTCTAGTGTTATCACTGGCTTTTGATTTTTGTGCTTGGAGTCTTGGGGAGATTTCAGTGTCCTTAGATTTTTCTCTAGATTTTAATCTACTTTCACTTTTGGATCTTCTTCTTGATTCATTTATGTGTGCCTTTAACCTTGAGGTCACGGAATCACCATTTGTTTCTTTGTTATCATTACTGTGAGCTGCAGATGACTGAATATTTATATGTTCTGAGTCAATATCTTTTTCACGTGGAGATTTTTTAGTCAATGTTGATTGTTTTTTGCTTAATGTGGTTCCTTTGGGATATGGCATATTATTAAATATATCAATTGAGGATTGTGAGGGTCTTTCAAAGCTCAAAGACTGTTTCAGGTTAGTGGTTGCACTGGGTTTTATATTCAATTTATCATCCACCTTGTCCTTATATCCTTGTCTATCCTTATCCTTATCGGATAGCTCTGTATCTTTGTTTGTTTTCCTGGGAGATTGTTTCTGATGTATATCCTGTTGAGATTGGGAAATGTCTGTAGATGGAGCGGTTTCCTTCTTACGAGATGTTGCACTAGATACATCCCAAGCAGACTGGGATTTTCGTGGAGATTCCATGGAAGGGGCATTGTCTGGAGCATCAAATAAGATTCCCTGATCATTCAGGTTAGACATGCTTCTTGAGGTATCCTGATCACTGCAATGGTAAAAAAGAATAAAGAATATCAGCGTTTTAATTCACCTGTTCTTACAAACACAAGTTTATTTTTTACATTATGACTGAATTTTTGTAACTGTATTTCCCAAGCTATATTCAGGATCTAAAGTCTGCTGACCTTAATTAAATATTAAAAGTTCTCCAACTGCATTAAATACGTCATACAGGACCTCCATTATTATAACTCGTAGATGAGTCATTATTTGCCTAAAGATTGAACAGGAATACCATGGTGTTACTGGAATACCATGGTGTTACTGGAATACCATGGTGTTACTGTAGACCCTGTGTAGTGTCCAGATATGCCTAATTTAATGAAATGATAGTTAACATAAAACCAACCTGGCACTTGTTGCTTCATTCTCCTCATCATCTGTGGAAAGATGGAAACGCGCTTTAAGCTTCCTAGGTGAATCTTTAACCCTCCCAGAGCCAGGTTTAACCCTCTCCCTCTTGGTAGTGGAAGCTTCTTCTGTGGTGGTGTCTTTGTTGAAGCCTCTTTGCCTGCTCCTGTAGAAGACACTACTCTCATCATTCTGGAGCTTAAGGAGGTTGAACCTGATCTTAGAGATGGCTCTGTCCCGTTCCGTATCTGCCAGGCTCTGGTGGCTCTTGGAGCTTCTCAGCATTGTGTCACTGCCATTCAGACCTTTCTGCTGTAATTAAAGTAAGAGAACATTCAGAAAAATATGGTCTGAATTGTCCAACTGTTTGACTTAACTCAGAATAATCATTAATTTTACATCTGGTACAAACATTTAAACAAGGGTCACCCTTTTAGACTTTTCAATTTAAATTAATTTGGACATTTTAGCATCTTATATCTTAAATAAATTTAATTCATTTTGATTCACAATATTCCGATACTTAGAACATGATGGCTTTTTATTTCAACATTTATTAATTGATCCGGTATCAACATTGCGGCAAGCCAACAATATTCATAAAATATACACTAACATTCGACAATATGAAATGACTAAACACTTTGTCAGCAGGCCTACATATTCTCAATGAAAGTTAAATAATCAACAGAATGCCACATCAATAAAACGTAAGTGCTATCACTTGACTATCGCCTTTGTTGTATACCCACTTGAGGTTATCTATAGTGGGCTAGTATAAAGATATGTAAGTTCATTAATTTAATATTCAGATTCAAGAAGTTTGGGCATTTACTCCAAACTTGTTCTGTACATGAATTTGATTGTAAATCAAATGTTTACTTTTAACCTCAATTCTTTCAATAATAAATGCATTTCATGACTAATTTTGCATACATGGCACATAAAACGAAAAACACTAAATCACTAAATTGAAATATACTGCTATATGATATTGTACTGTATGACTGTAAAAGAATATGACATTGTTCTACATAAGAATATATGACATCATACTTGATAAAATATATGACATTGAATAAGAATATATGACACTGTATTACAATTACAGTACTGTATAAAAATATGACATTGTACTCTATAAGAATATATGACATTGCACATGTTGCACTGTATAAGAATGTACATGTATGACATTGTTTTGTACAATATGAAAATGTAAAAGCACAAAAGGCAACATTTGATAATACAAACAAATCCAGGTGAACCCTATAAACCAGTCTAATTTAACTATAGAAAAGCAGTATAAGACATGGAAGTCATGACAAAATATATGAAAACATCTGGAAACATCATAAAACATACAAAAACAAAATAAATCTTGTTTAATGACCCTGAGAATTAAATCACCATTACACAAATGCAGATTCTTTTTCAATGAAAAAACAAAGTATAGTTTTTTACTTTTTTTCTTGTACTCAATCATTTTCATCATTAATTGTGCTCACCTTTTCCTGGTATTTCTTCCTGAGTTGTGTGAGGTTGTGTCTTTTCTCCTCTGACAGATCCCTTATGCTTGCCAAGCTCTTGGAGCGCTTTATCTACAATACATTCAATGGGTAATTAGCTAGAAGCACCAGAACAACATCATTCCTTATCTTTGAGATAGTAGAGTATGTCAGTGGTGATGTATTTCTCCTTGGCTTTATTACAGTGAATGTCAAGGTACCTGGTGTTTTGCAATGGTATTGTAGTCCTGAGTACACTCAATCACTGATCACTGATTCATGTAGCATATTGCACCTGTCAATTAATTTTCAGGTGATTTTTGTATGAATTCTCCTGGCATTACTGAGACCTCCTGCTGGGCTTTTCTACATTTATGTTTTAAACTTTGCTATTGATCCATTGAACTGAGAATGGCTCATGTCAAGCTAATCAAGCTTTTATGAAAACTGTTATTTAAAACCTCATGTGGTCAATTATCCGTTGAGAAAACTATCGAATATCTGATTGTAAATCCTTTTACTTTGTTTAAGAAAGTTGTTTTGTTAATTCTTGCAAATAAAGGAAAATTAAACAGTTTCATTGGTTTATGCTATTTGAAGAAGTAGATTGCCTTTGAAGTTGTATTTCCGATTCAGTATGTTTGCTTTGAGTTCATTTTGATTGTGAGTGTGCCAAATGTCCATGTTTCAGGTACTTAGACTGATATGTCATCGTTCATGTCTTTGGGTTTATGACAATCAAAAGAGTTTTTGAAGATAAGGTTTGAAATAGTCAGTATTTAGGTCTAAAATGACAAGTTAAAGTTCAAAACTCAACAATCTTTAACACCCTTAACATATACATATTCTGATATGTAATATTTGGAATCTGCAGCAATGAAACACAATACTCCATTAAAGTATTTATTTTTAATTCAGTATTTAGTATTTTAGGTAATATTTGTATTATTCGAATTCTGAAACTGAAATCAAAATATTTGTCTATTTACCTTGCTCTGTTTTGGTTCCATTATTCCTAATGTGTTAGGTGTATGTTTTGGTTGGTAAAATTGTGTAACAATCTAACAGTAAATCCTGACATTGTAAAGTTACTTTATATTGAATTACAGTTATATCAACCGTTTACACACTGCGTATTGTACATCTAAAGGTGTAGGTTAAATGAATAAACCATCCTTGTAGATATCTTAGATAAATATATTTCATGAGTTATCATGCAGGTGCTTGAGAATAACGAGTACGAGTCAGTTAAACCAGGATCTTTAGAATACCAGTATTCATCTATTTTAATATTATTTCATACTACACTACCCACATCTATTTGTATGCTAACAAAATCAGGATTTCAATGATTGGTTTATGTTCATGTCTTTGAATAACCTGATAACATTGTGCTATTGACTCAGAGTTCAATGTTATAAATACAAGCCAGGGAATATTGGCATACAAAATCTCTAACACTCTCCCTGTCAAATAAATTTTATTGATTGTGCTTAAGGCTCGGTAAATATAAGGCAAATACTATTAACATGTTACCAATGGTTGACTCAAGGATTTAACACAGAATAAATGAATAAAACTAAATTTCTTGAATGATAGATGTCACTTGGGTCACTTTTGATCAATACAACACATAATACGATGTATTTTGTCATGGTTCAAATGTCTAATTCAGAATAAAGATGGCATTTGAAATCAGAAATAATTTTGGATACAAATACTAGAGAAATGCACTTCAATCTAGATTGTTTTAATGTGTTAGTTGTCACATGGCCAAAAATATTAAATCTAAAAATAATATAATTTTTCAAAAAAGGCAGTAACATGCAAAATGTCACCACCTGCCATTTGTTATAGATGCCGAATGGCAAACTCCAAACACCAACCATCGAACACAAACCCCTGCCTGTGGTGATAACATAATATCTTTTTAGTACTGTACCTCATTTTAAATACTCAATTGTGACTGGTTAGAGAACAGTCAATAGTATTGCCTATAGCCTGCACAAGTTTTTTTTAATTTCTTTTAATAATTAAACTGTTATTGTGTATTAGGTTAGTTGTGCTTGATATTTTTTGGCTTTCTTTGGAGGGCTGGCCAAATATCGTTTTATATCCCTGAATGTCAATTTGATAATCACCCTTTAGAGAGGTCAATAGTTGTATAATATCTCTGACAGATACTCAAATACTCAATAACTCAAATACTCAATGCTTCAACTTACTGGTCTGGCACGTCTAACAAGCCGACGCTTTAGATGGAATGTGACATCACAATCTGGTGTCACCTGACGCTGTACCAATACAGGACATTCACTTGGCTTCAGATCACACAACACTGAAAATATGGAAAGAATGTGGAAAGTTAATTTGCAAAATGTTAAGGTTGCTATCAAGGCATAGATCACATTGTTTAGTAATACATAGTTGTTGCTAGCTGAGAATGGAAATCTGATTTTACAATGTTTAATACATCAATTTGTCAAATAGCAAATAAAATGATTGACATTTTGCAAATAGCAAATACAAGTGAGTGACGTTACAGGTAGATGTAGAATAAGAGTTTTGTCTTGATCTGTGTTTTCAAATGTTTCCCTTGATGCATTTATTAACTAATCAATAAAATATAACATGTACCTCAAAAGTGATGTATCTTGTACTGTATAATTTGAGCAATAATCCTTATGTTAAACTCAATATCCTACATTAAAGTTATAACAATATTTAAAATAGTAAACATTCGCAAACAGTATAATAGTCTACATAACTCACTACAGGCATCAAGATAATATCCCATGAGTCAAATATGATGTTCTTTTCTTTAAAGGAAGGCGGTTGGGCAAATGAATCATGTGACCTTAAAGGGGCTTGTGGGAAATAAAGTCCTCTGCTTTCATTTGTTCATCTCTGACAGATGAGCCTGCCTGGAGTTATCCCTGTACATTGTGTTTTATATGCTCGTATAATAACGTGTCAACATATTTGCTTGTTTGTTTGGATGGTTGCCTTGGAGACAAACTAAATTGATACCTTTTGCAAAGTGTTCATATAACATCATAGCATGAGAGGACTTAGTATGTTATTGCAGACCATGTATCTTCAGGGTAAATTAGAACATATATAAATTTCACTTGACTTTTGTGGCTTGCTCTACTCTACATGGCCCTAGCGAGGGGGTCACTTTGGGTGCACCCCCTTTTGCCTCACCGCTTTTGAGAAAAATCACTCGTTGCTTTTTTAATCTCCCTCAAAATGCAAGTTATTTTTGACACTTCCCCTAAGCTGTCATTCCAATTTGCATATTCAAACAGTTCAAATGTTTGCAGTGCAGTGCCACAATATCAGGTATAAACAATACACCAATTTTGAAAACAGTATGTTAGCATCTAGATGACATAACTGTTACTTTATGCACTGCACCAAATATAGATTAGATCTAGATGTTCATGCACTGCAGTATATTAAAAAATGCTTGCCTCCCCAAGGGTATTTGGCTCATTGAAAAAAATTGCCTCAATGACAAAAAATTGCCTCACTGATAAATAAGTTGCCTCACTGCATCCCCTTGAAAAATCCTGCTGATTGGGAGTCATCACTATAATAGTAGATGCAATGGGATAATAAATCAACTCTTGTTTTTATATGAATGAATTATTTATTCAACATGATATCAGGCCTGTCAACTGTCCCGCAATTTGCGTATTTGTCACGCATTTGCTGAAGAATTTGAAGTCACGCCAGTTATTTTTGCGTGACAGAAAATGTCACGCAAATACGCATTTTACCTGGTAATTGTCAAGCAAAAATATTTCTGTAGAAAAATTTCTAAAAAAGATCGTCTGCACAGCAAAAATACGAACGCCGGAAAAAAATGTACGCATTTCGTTCGGACTTTTCACGCGAATTACGTATATGTCCCGCATTCCGTTCGAAAATTTTCGTACCTACCCCCCCCCCCATACAAAATTGTTCAAAATTTGGCAAGATGTAATAATATGGAAACCAAGGTGTTCAAAATTTGGATAAAGGTGTTCAGATTTGGACCAAGGTGTCCACATTTTGAGGGGAGGTGTTCAACATTTCCAAGTCACTCATGTTAGGTGTTCCCAAGTTGACAGGCCTGTGATATACAATTACCCAGTAATTTGTTTTGTAGTATTGGCTACACACATACAAGCCTATGTGTAGATCATTTGCAGTTCTAAAAGATTTCCTGTTCACATCCATCCATATCAGCTTTTTTTTACCCTGGGAACCACACTAATTAAATGTATGAGGAAATAATTTTTCAAGATACAATTGGTGCGAATTCGTAGCATTAATAAGATCGGCAAAAAAACAATAGGCATGGACATGCTTTTACAACAAAGTACAATATGTGATTTGTTTTACCTTTTCCAGTTTGATCAACTCCCTGGAGCATGAACAAATCAGCATCTTCGTTAGATCTGTAACCCTGCAGAAGTAACGCAATGACCTCATGACTTGTCGTCTTCCCTGATACAAACAGATTCTTCGAGAATGACTGAAAATGAATATAAATACATACAGTGAAACCTGCAAAATGGAACACCTCTAGAAATGGAACACCTCTGTTGGTGGAATACATTTCAGAGTTCCAACACCAACTGACTTAATGTTAAAAGAAGTGGAACACCTCTCAAGTGGAACACATTTTGGACGGTACCAATGGTGTTCCACTTTACTGCATACAGAGATTAATAGATGTGCCCTTCACAAATGTCAAGATTCGAACCTTCTCGATGAAAAACAATACCATCCCTGTAATTAACTCAATGCCAGCAATGTCATTGAAATAACACCTTTACATGCCGGTCACTAATTCTACTTAAGGAATTAGTACAAGAGGCTTTCTGAAAATGAATCAAGCATACAAAATGATTATCTTGTGTTTTATGTTTTATGTTCTAGTCACAGAATGACTTATAATTATATATGTAGAATATATATAATGCAATTTACAAAACATATACTGTATAATATGAAGGGTATAACACATTAGTTAGGAAACTAATAATATTTACCAATATACAATATATACCAATATATACACTGCATATCTTAAAAATATTATTCGAGAAGCGTATTAAAACTCAAACTGAAAATTATTCAGACTCAAAAGTCCAAGCAAAACTTAAAGTACATAATATAGGGCATAGTCAATCAATTTTATCCAAGTTGATTCACATTAGCTGGTTTTATTAAACATGCTTTTTTAACATTGGTCTTAGTTCTTTTTATCTTTGTTCCTCTTATCACACTTATAAGATACTGATTACAAGCCCTCATTATCGCAACAAGTCAAGTTGACCTCTTAGCTAAAATAGCAACACTTTCTACAAGAGAGGACTAATTACTTGAGTGTGGAGGCAATTCAGATTACTGACATGAGGGTAGATGAAAGGGACAATTATTTACATGAAGGTAGAGGCAATAAAAGATTACTTATACGAGCATGAGGGCAATATGAGATTACTTACATAGGGATGAGGGCAATATGAGATTACTAACATAGGGATGAGGGCAATATGAGATTACTTACACAGGGATGAGGGCAATATGAGATTACTTACAAGAGGATGAGGGCAAGAGAAGATTACTTTCATGAGGATGGAGGCAAGAGAGGATTACTTACACAAACAGACAAAGATGATGGCAATATGAGATTACTTTCATAGGGATGAGGGCAAGAGAAGATTGCTTACATGAGGATGGAGGCAAAAGAGGATTACTTACATGAATATGGAGGCAAAAGAAGATTACTTACATGAGGATGGAGGCAAGAGAGGATTACTTACATGAGGATGGAGGCAAGAGAGGATTACTTACATGAGGATGGAGGCAAGAGAGGATTACTTACATGAGGATGGAGGCAAAAGAGTATTACTTACATGAGGATGGAGGCAAGAGAGGATTACTTACATCAAGATGGAAGCAAGAGAAGATTACTTCCATGAGGATGGAGGCAAGAGAGGATTACTTACATGTGGATGGAGGCAAGAGAAGATTGCTTACATATGGATGGAGGCAATAGAAGATTACTTACATGAAGATGGAGGCAAAAGAAGATTACTCACATGAGGATGGAGGCAAAAGAAGATTTCTTACATGCGGATGGAGGCAAGAGAAGATTGCTTACATATGGATGGAGGCAATAGAAGATTACTTACATGAAGATGGAGGCAAAAGAAGATTATACTCACATGAGGATGGAGGCAAAAGAAGATTTCTTACATATGGATGGAGGCAATAGAAGATTACTTACATGAAGATGGAGGCAAAAGAAAATTTTATATATATAGGCCAAGACAAGAGAAGATTACTTACATGAGGATGGAGACAAGTATCATGTATCTTCACCAGCTCCCCATTCTTCATCTTCAGGATAAAACTGTTGCAGAATATAACAATAAAATTAATTCACATCAATTGTCATCCAATAATATAAATTAATACAGATTATCTGAAATAAAGTTCAGGATATTGGGATTACCCTGATGCTGTATGTGCACATGAAAGTATAGTATAATAAAAATGAATAATTACAGGGTATAAAGTTATAGTATTTATGAGTTAATCTCGATAATAAATCTGAGTTTCATTGATGCAGCTTCTACAGTTCAGCTAGATGAGGGCAGAGGGTTTAATTAAAGGAAAGGTCATTTGAGAATTATGCAACACCATACCTTGTGTCCATCTGCATTTTTTGAAGTATGGAAATTGGCAATTCATCATCCGCAATTGTCTCCACTTTCCCACCTCCATTGCTAGAGAGGTTCAATGTCATGTAGTACAGGTTCCTGTCACGACTTGTCATTCCATTCTCTAGCAGTATTTGACCAATCAGATCTTTTGCAGTTGTTTCGTTTGTGATGTCATACTTTTCTGCTTCGAATTTGGACGACACAATGGTGGCATACACTTTTACTGTGCCCTGAAAGCAAAAGTGCACAAATAAAGTCAGGAAATACTTCTCCAATGAATCCTTACCCATTTTATGTTGAACTAAGTAAACTAAGGGCATGCAATCCTAGTTACTTTCTGACACCTAAAAATCATCAATGCCGGTGTTCCACAGGGGTCTGTTTTGGGACCCCTACTTTTTCTAATTTATATTAACGATTTGCCGGATAATCTTAATTCTAAAACTTTCATCTTTGCCGACGACACTTCTCTGTATGATGCATATGATAAAAATGAAGTACACATGAACATTAATCAGCCATTACAACATGACCTTGACACTCTAAACAATTGGGCTTCAGTGTGGAAAATGAAATTCAAAGCCCAAAAGAGTGCTGATATAACATTTTCAGGGGTACGCACCAAAGTTAACAATCAGTCTCCCCTGTTTTTAGGGGATGAAGAAGTTCCCAAATGTATAATGCATAAACACCTCGGATTAGTCATGGACAGTAAACTAAATTTCAATGCACACATCGACCAATTAATTGTAAAGATTAACAACTTAATCAGACCATTGAAAGCTCTATGCAAAAAATTATCAGCCAAGCATCTTGAGACAATTTATAATGCTTACTTTATACCTCACTATGACTATTGTGACATAATTTACAACAAAGCTTCCTTAACCAAACTCCAAGCTCTAGATAAGTTACATTACAGAGCAGCCTGTTTGATATCTGGTGCAATACATGGATCAAGTACTGACAAGGTATTTGCATCCCTAAATTGGAAATCTCTTGCATCTAGAAGAGAAGAACATTTGAAAATATTTATTTTTAAAGCACGGTTTAATTGTTTTCCACCTTTCATATGTGATTTAGTTCGCTCCTATGAAATCACTCATACTAGAAACTTAAGATCCCAGCCAGACTATCGGATTCCAAACCAGATTAGTGTGTCTAGTGAGAAGTCCACATTATTTAAATCCATGACCCTATGGAATAAACTTCCAAATACATCCAGAGTTGGTCAACCTATTTCAAGATTTAAAAAATCAGTAAGAGAGTGCATGAGCCTGGTCTCTGTATCAACTTCGAAAATGAATATTTTTATGCCAAGACATATTGAGATAGTTTTTAATAGGCTTAGAGCTGGCCTCCTCTTGAATAGCCATCTATATTCTCACAACTTTGTCTCAGTAACTGATCCTAAATGTCCATGTGGTTCTAGGTTTCAAACTACAGAGCATTTTCTGGTTAAATGTCCACTGCTTGTGAATGAAAGAGATGTTTTACTTGCAGGGCTAACAGACTTAAATCTTTTAAGTGAATTTGAAAACTTTTCAAACCAAAATAAAACTGATTTTCTCTTGTATGGTGACAATTCTTTAAGTGTTGAAGTCAATGAAAAATTAATTGAGATTTCAGCTCACTTCACTAGTCAAGCTTTTAAAGCTCTTGATCAAGATCTTTTTAATAACTAGGGTAAAGAATTGAGGTAGAGGGTGGGGCAAGCAGAGTAAACACAGTAATACATTCCATATTATTGCAAATGTTCAGTGTATTTTACTAATCAATCAATATTTTTTGTCAAAATAGTTACAATTGCCGCTAATGTTATCTAATAACCTTGGCAATTTTTCTTATGTACACATTTGATGATTGATCGAAATAAACTGGAATATTAAAAAAAAAAAAACACCTAAAAATATTATTTTAATGTATCTGCTCTGGCCAATTAAGTCTTCACATATTCCATTAAAGAATACTTTATATTTCAACAATCGTGCGATCCTAATAAACATCCAAACCATGTTAAACCAATAATGCACATGCAAAAATGGAAAGTTCCAAAATCCTGTACTAAGTCCAGACACATATTGCATGTTTCAGTCATGAGAGTAAGCCACAAGATTTCAAATATTACAAAGAAACAAGCATCTAGGCTATTGATGTCAATCCTAAGTTTCTAACCTGTCTATATCAAGTTAATAAGTAAATCAATAAACAGCAAATACAATTTTGATTGTCAACAGTGAGATCTCCTCATGTCATTCTGCATCTCTTTTGTATCAACATGAAGTTTGAATCAGTATTAATAAATATTATATTATATATGTCAATGTTACCAATTAACCTACATTTACCTGGATCCTGTAAAACCTTAGCAATTATATCCACTGCTTTCCTCAAGCGTTATTTAGAATAACTGAACTTGATTTAATAAGAATAATCCATATACAGATATAGCACTTTACCAGTCCCATCCCTGAGGCACATATATCTAATTGTTCTGATGCAGAATTCAGTCGTAGGTACTTAAAGAAAGACACATGACAAAGTGGCTTTTCTGGCATTGAGTGACTCTCTCGTAACCACTTAACAGCATTATTATCCATTGAAGGTAAATCTTAGATTAGCAACGATGTTCTTTCTTCTACTTTCTTGCAAGTAAATATGTAATCGTCATAAGGTTTCCATTTCATCATTAGAGGAAATTACTTATATTGCAACAAGCATGGTTCTTTAAGGAGTCAATTCCAGGAATATTTTATCAATATTTATATCATGTGTAAGATCAACATATTTCTCTAACCAGAATAGCTCTAAGCTTTGGCTTTAACAGCCTAGGAATACTCTTACATAATAATGTATTTCTAATGCATTTTAAGCAGAGCCCCAGAAACTACCTGTACATATTTTACATAACTTTCATTCCCTTGCAGTTGAAATAATATTCTGAATCCCTATTGGCAAGCCATACTAGTCTCTGATTAAATATGATTTTATAGTTTTGATGCTAATTAGGTCTTAATGGTCTCAAATGTATCTTTTATATATGATTTGAATGTGAAATGACAGTAAGCTACTTATAAGACAGATCATGTGGTGTCATGATTTGATATCATAGGCTAGATCAAAGATTTATCTTTAATCTAAAGAGTGCAGAACTAAGTTTTACACTTGCAAAGGGTGTTATCTCAAACATATCTCCAAGAGACTGTATTATCAATGTTGCATTATGCCATAGTCACACCTGTTCTTCAAGACAGAAAAATCTCTGTAAAATAAAGTATATGCTTCTACACTTTCTATACATAACTGCAAGTGAACTTGCTGAACAATTTTCATGAATTTTTGAAATACGCAATATTTATCCTATATGCATTATCTGATTTTGATGCTTTTAAGTACACAATATTGTGTACTAACTCAATAGAAGACAAGTTTCTATTTTAGTGAAAAGATTTATTATTGCATAATAATAATTTAAGATAAGCTCATTCATTGGATTAGTATTACTTGGTTAAACATATGAAAACGGTATATGAAAACTTAGTTAAGATTAGAATTACACCCAAAAGCAAAACATAATACAGTTTATGTGTGGCCTTTTTGATTTCCCTTGAATATGGTGATTACATGTCTGTCTTTTATGAGTCAATTTCATCCTACTAAAGTAAAACCTGTCCGACTGAACACCTTTCTGAAAGGAACGCCTGACAACAAGGAACACTTTTCAAAAGAACAAATTTTTGACTGTAAGGAAAACCTGTCAACTGGGTCCTACTAGTACTGGGAACAAGGAACACTATTTAGGGCAAATTTTGAAAATTCACCTGTTCACAAGGAATATGAAAATTCACCTGTTCACAAGGAACATGTAAAATTGGCCACTGTTATTCCACAGTTTTTCAGAGGTTGTAAATGGTTTTAGCCAATATCTGATTCTAAAAGAGCTTTGATTAATATGAGAGATTAGGATAAGCCAATTGTGGACAGGATGGGACATCCCATCCACTGTTAATTACCCTTATAATCTTAAGTGTTTTAATCTGTTTGTGATTATTAATTGCCATTATTACAAGAATGCAAATCTTCCAACAAAGTTTAATTCCATCTGACTAATTGTGCTAATCTAGAGATCCAGACGCAACTATTTTAGAGATAACAAAATTGTATAACATGTTGAACTACTGTATATTTCTTAAAATCTTTTTCAAACCCAAACTTTCAAATTATAAATGCTGTAAAATGAGGTTGACAAAATTTGAATATAAAATATCCTTGTTCCCAGGTTGAACTGTATAAATATTATAGCCAATCAAATGTTATTGTTTTTTATTAATAATAGTTTATATTTTAGTAGTTGATAACATACATATACATAGCTTTTATGGGAAATAATTATAATGCAATGACACTTAAAGGTTTTGCTGGAGCACATCATGTATAAAATGCAGTTTACTAAGCTTTCAAATATGACAGTGAATTCAGACCCCACAATGACAAAAATTCCAATTTTGGAATGCCCTCAATGATTATTATTTTATTGACATTACTAAGCATCAAATACATGTAATCCTACTAAATACTAGCTTAAAATCCAACCATATGAATAGTTTAAGTTAGACATAAATAAAAGCCTAATATAAAATAATGCTTTACTTTATTTTGCCATGGTTTTTAGGGGTTTGTATTGCTCTGTAGCCTATTTTTGTAATGTTATCTGTTGTGCCTACAAAATAAACTAGCTGTTTTGTGGTAATGTGAATTAGTTGTCATAAACTACATGAAACAGACACAACATTAGTTCCACCATGAAATAACTTTAACTTACCATTCTTGATATTAACATAATATTACATTAATGTGATTTATCCACTTAAAAACAGATCCACCTGGATAATATAGAATATGGTAGCACGTTTGTACTTTTAAAATTTATTTTTAAATTATGTGAAATAGGCTTATTTCTGTTTTACCGTTAGTGTCCCTTGGATAATATGAGCCGTTGAAATTGAATAAAAGAAATTAAAATAAACAAATATGTGATCATTGTGTTTCTTTACGTACTCTTTAGTCTTTATTCTACAACAATAGCCCTCAAAAGAATTCAATTGGGAGCTATGTGTTTTGTGTAACTGGAGATGTGTAATGAAGGTCACAAGAACACCTTTTTGTTATTCTTTAATGGATAGACAAACATTGTTCTTTTTATGTGATCTTATGAACATTATAATATTACTTGTGTTTTTTTTGTGTGACATGCAAATATTAAAAGGTCTGCAATAGAATCAATGAATGCAGTTATCAAATTGATAGTGTTATGTAAAAATCTTATATCAGTGCAAACTTAAGACAAGCTTACCCTAAGACCCTGATACAGATTGCAGGTCATTTTCAGTCAGAGGACCACATTTTACAGCATTATGTTCCCATGTTTTACTAAAGAATCACAATATCTATAGAATTAAAAAATGTTAATTTCATTATATAACAAATATCCCAATGCTTCCCTAATACCAGTTTTCTTATTTCCTCCTAAGCATAGTGATAGAAAAGGTCACCCCTCCCTCTCCTAAGGGATGACTGAGGGGGGGGGGGGGAGGAGGCTAAGTTGAGTTATTCCCTATGATAGAAAAAAACTTTCAGCCCAAGCATTTCATATTTCTTTCTCATGCTAATTAAGACAAAATAATTATTTAAAAGCATTTCAGCTTTTAAGTATTTCATATTTCTTTTCCATGCCATAAAAGACAAAACAATTATTTATCATCTATTCCTTTCAGAAAAATAAGCTTCATCTTCAGTTCTTTGCAATTGATTTCCTTACCTTTTTCCTGGAGTTCCGTAAAGGTTTGAAAACCATGTTTGTCATTAGATTACTGTTGTGTATACTCAATCTTTCTAATGTGCACTGTGGCATAATTTACCCCCATGTCCATTGTTCAATCTAGCGATGTGTTTTTTATTGTATATTATTAATCCATTAGGTTTCTGTTGTTTAATACATCTGAGGTTTTCAAGTTCTTGATGGTATCATATCCACAAAGGATCAATTAAGTTACTGTGATCTTGTCAAGGTGTAGTTGCCACTTGGTACATGTGTGAGTCACACTCGCAAGTAAACACAGGAAATATTTTTCTTTTTAACATTTTATTTAAATCCGATTACTGATGTATGTCCAAGTTTAAGGTTAATTTGATTTTCCAGTCCTTTTGAACACTTAAAAATATATGTTTCATGATACTTAACCATTTACTTAGTTATGTATCAATTGTACAAAGTGGCATATTTTGGCTCTTATCGTGTTTTTATTTTTTATGCATACCTATGTCAGCATGCCTGCCTGTCCAACTGCATGTTTTTAAAAAGGTTGACTTGCTGTACTGAAATGATTCTTTTATTTATGCAATCACATCTTAATTGACACAAGTGACCTGATGTGTTTTTATTTATGATATGTTTATGATATTCATTTATAAAGATTCATGTTTGTCTGGTGAAACTGTAGAGGTTGATACCCAGAAGTCTTTGTATGATCATGTGTACAATTTCAACCAATCAGATTACATAATTGTACTCAAGTGTTTAACAGTTATTAATGCATAGTTTGTAATTATAAGCTGAATTTTGAACATTGACCAAGAATTCAAATAATTCTGTTTTTACTGTGACATACACCCTTAATTAAGTAGAAGGAGGTGGTATACAATGCATTGTACAAATATTACTTCTAAAAGCAGGTTTTATGAATGTATCAAAATTCTAAGATATCTTATTGGGTGGTATGAATGCAACACAAGCTAAACTGTAAACCTACCAATTACACAGACATAATAAATATTATACGTTTCACCTGCTTTACATGACTGAAATATTTTCTAACTTGCCGGTAGGCCTTTTAGAAATCTGCACAATGTATGTGTATATGTCAAAAGTTTAAGTTTAGCAAGATAATTCATTCTGCTTGTCCTTCCCACCTTAATTGAGTTAGCAAGATAATTCATTTTGCTTGTCCCACTTTAATTAAGTTTAGCCAGATAATTAATTCTGCTTGTCCCACTTTAATTAAGTCTAGCCAGATAATTCATTCTGCTTGTCGCACCTTAATTAGGTTAAGTCAGATAATTCATTCTGCTTGTCCCACCTTAATTAAGTCTGTTCACCTTAATTAAGTTCAGCCAGATAATTCATTCTGCTTGTCCCACCTTAAATAAGTTTAGCCAGATTATCCATTCTGCTTGTCCCACCTTAATTAAGATAAGCCAATTAATTCATTCTGCTTGTCCCACCCTAATGGACTTTAGCCAGATAATTCATTTGCTCATCCCACCTTAATTAAGTTTAGCCAGATAAATCATTCTGCTCGTCCCACCTTAATTAAGTTTAGCCAGGTAATTAATTCTGCTTGTCCCACCTTAATTAAGTTTAGCCAGATAGTTCATTCTGCTCATCCCACCTTAATAAAGTTAAGCCAGATAATTAATTCTGCTTGTCCCACCTTAATTAAGTTTAGCCAGATAGTTCATTCTGCTTGTTCCACTTTAATTAAGTTTAGCAAGATAATTCATTCTGCTTGTCTTACCTTAATTAAGTTTAGCAAGATAATTCATTCTGCTTGTCCCACCTTATTTAAGTTTAGCCAGATTATTCATTCTGCTTTCCCCACCTTAATTAAGTTTAGCCAGATAATTCATTCTGCTTGTCCCACCTTAATTAAGTTTAGCCAGATAATTCATTCTGCTTGTCCCACGTTAATTTAGTTTAGTCAGATAATTCATTCTGCTTGTCCCACCTTAATTAAGTTTAGCCAGATATTTCATTCTACTTGTCCCACCTTAATTAAGTTTAGCAAGGTAATTCATTCTGCTTGTTCCACCTTATTTAAGTTTAGCCAGATAATTCATTCTGCTTTTCCCACCTTAATTAAGTTTAGCCAAAAAAATCATTCTGCTTGTCCCACCTTAATTACGTTTAGCCAAATATTTCATTCTACTTGTCCCAACTTAATTAACTATAGCCAGATATTTCATTCTACTTGACCCAACTTAATTTAGTTTAGCCAGATATTTCATTCTACTTGTTCCGACTTAGCTAGTACTAGTTTACCTCAACTAAAAGTTAAAGGGGCAACAAAGACTAGGGGCAAGTTAAGAATAACTCTCTAAAATATTGTTACAATTATGCAGTGTTGTTTCATCTCAACATTCCTTGTAAAAAGTCCAACAATTCTGGCTTTATTTCATTTTGTTTTTACTGGGTATAATGTGATATAAAAAGTGGAGATTGGTCCATTTTCGAAGCATTAAGATGACAAGTGAATAATGATTAACAAATTATAAGTGCAATAAGTTATTTACTTCACTTCTAGAAAAAATGTTGTTTTAGACAAAAAAAGGATCATTTTCTCATTTTAATAAACAAGTTTTCAACCAAATAGGAGACTATCTAAAAGATTAGGTGCGAGTAGAAATAATCTTGATTTACTAATTTACTAAAATCTCAGATGGGTGCTGTGCCCACTACTTGCTTTAATGCTGGAGAGATCACTGCATGTATAATACTTTTAAATGAGGCGGAATACAGTATGTAAAAGAACAATAGTATCAACATTCAACACCTGCCTACAACTGTAGTTAACACCTTTAATATCCACCTACATATTATTGTCATGACATGATCCAATTTTCAACACATTGTCACAATAACACATATCAAAGATAGATAATGAAAAGTGTAAAATACACACTGGATCATTATTAGAAAAGTTTAATGTCACCACCACCTTTAAATTATTACAAAAGTGTAACATGATGTTACAGATGCCAAATGCTGATGCGAACACCAGTCAAAGAAGATTCACTGTAACGCTTTAACAATATCTCACCATTTCTTAATAAAAACTGATGTAATCAATCCTAGCAAATGAATGCACTGCTATAGTCTCCCTATACCAGTTTATGAAGCGAATTGAAGCAAGACTGTTGATCACACAAATAAAGTGCACACAACGTGGTATGTGGTACAAAAGTGCCAGTGGTGTACACATTGGCATATTAGGAATCAGATTAACATTGGCATTGTTTGTCATTCCTAAATGAAAATAGCATCCCCTAGTTGTAATTCAGGGAATCTCTCCAAAATGAACATTGTAATTCAATATGATTTAGAATTGAAGCCATCAACTTTATGAAGTATTGATTGTCTGGGTGGATTATTACCTGATATTTATTACAGGTAGCTTCTGGATTCATTGATCTTACTGACAATACCTGAAGCCCTCGGGTTATGATCCTGTCCAATAAAAGTCACAATTTTACTTTTTGTGACTTTTTTCGAAATAAAGACTCTTAGAAATTGAAGTGCATCTTTAATTGCACCAGATGTAAATATCTACGTCTCGTATTAAATCTCGAATCAACTAATACTTTTCCTTAGGGGAGAACTATGGACAAAACAAAGAAAAAAGGGATAGAAATGCTGTGACTAAACAATTTTCCCTTGATTTAAGTTTCATCTTGGAGTTAAATGTCATAGTTTTCCCATGCAAGCAGATTTAGAAGTTAAAGAATAGGTAGTTTATGAATGAAAACACAAGGTTGTTTCATATGGAATGTTACAAAGTGTCAATGAAATGAACAAGCACCCTTGTGTGATAGAAGATTGCATTATATAAAATAATATATGCATGCTTTTAATGCTTCAAACAACATTCACATTCATATCATGCACATATTCAATTCATGCAATTTATGTTCCCTATCAGCATATATACTCCAGAGCAAAGGCCCCAGAATTCACTCATAGTAAATATGTAAAAAAAACTTTCTCTTAATAACAAATCTAATATACTGATAATCTAATAATATATTATGGTATATAATTTGATATCATATTTCCCATTCTACCAAAAGAAACAAGCTCATCCTCAGCAACATCAAAGTATAAAAGCATTTACTGCATTCCCTGGAGTATAATTGTAAAGCATTACCAAGGCACTAGATCAACAGAGCAGGTATATTATTGATCACTGGGTATAGTATAGACATTATGTCAGATTATTTCTGCTAATGATGTAGGTGATGTCTAATGAAATAGCAGTCTCTTGCAGAATTTTATTATGATTTGGGCTAACTGATGGAATATTCCAAAAGAAAAATGCAAGAGTTCAAATTTGACTGATATTAATGCAATTGGTTGATCTGAAATGCAACTGATTGATCATAAATCCAACTGATTAATAAATAATGCAATTGATAGATTAAAAATGGAACTATATGATGAAAATGCAACCAATTGATTTGCAACTGACTGATCAAATAAATAACAATGCAACCAATTGATTTGCAACTGACTGATCAAATAAATAACAATGCAACCAATTGATTTGTAAGTGACTGATCAAATAAATAACAATGCAACCAATTGATTTGCAACTGACTGATCAAATAAATAACAATGCAACCAATTGATTTGCAACTGACTGATCAAATAAATAACGATGCAACCAATTGATTTGCAACTGACTGATCAAATAAATAACGATGCAACCAATTGATTTGCAATTGACTGATCAAATAAATAAAAATGCAACTGATTGATGTGCAATTGACTGATCAAATAAATAACAATGCAATCGATTTACCAAAAATGCTGATGATTGATCATAATCAATCTGAGTGATGCTAATACAACTGATTAATGATAAATAGATGGTGATTGATAGTCATAACAACTTATGAATGATAATATCATATTATAACCATAAATGTAGCTAACTTACCTGGTTAGACTGCAAACCTGAAGGGACATCAGGGTTAACAGGACATATATCCATCCTCACTCATCAATCTGCTAACCTGGAACAACAATGATCCAATCAGTCCAAGCATCCTACACACACTACTTGCGAACCATGAACACATGAGAAAAGATCATAATGTGGAATCGTTTTTACCAGTTAATCTAACAAGTATTGATTGGTTCTTTTCTTTAATCCATTGAAAATGTTCAGCATTTTCATGGTTCTAAGTTATACATTGTTGCAGTACCTGAATTTCTGTGTTGTCACCACCTTGTAAGTGATTGTAATTGTTACAGTTGCCAACTCCGAACACCAACCACTGGATGCTGAATGACAAACGCTGAACATTGTCCACAAAAAAAAGAGACTATCTTCACAACTTCTGGTGGTGACCTAAATTCATATTTGCGATATTGTTCTCATAAAAATGATTTTGATG